TAATTTTTACATACGACCGTGCAAATGGTAATGGACGGGAGGCTGCACGGCTGTATCAGATTGCGTTTCCAGTTTCGTGTCATTTAACTTTAGCTGCTGATTATCGACGCGTTGCTGAGACATGATTCGTGGCACCACAAACTATTGATCGAAGAAGACCGAAATCAGCTCGTACGCCTGACCACGAAGTACACATTCTATATAGCATTTTGGACAAATGTTTACCTTGTCAGAAATCCGCCCCAATGTTTGCAAATATATTTTGATACACCCTGTATATATTACTAATGGATGTGTTTACATTATAAGCGGTGACATTGAATTTGGATGTCAATTTTTAACACCATATATTAATAAATATTTTATCTATTTTTTAAATGCTATATATCAGTAGTGTTTATACCGTTAAAATTCTTTTTAATTCAACGGTTTTGTATAGAAAGAATCTGTTGTTCAAACTGAGTCGTAAATTATTAGAAATATTATCGGTGTATTCACATTTTTTTTAATCTATTCACACCAAGCAAAGGATAATGCTTCTAAGACGCAAGGACTAGTGGGAGGGAAAGAGAATGAGAAGACTTTAGAAGGAAACAAAAACCCAATCCTGATTTGTAACAAGGGATAAACCTCTACTCTTGTTAAAAAAAATGTAAGATCGGCTTCTAAAGAAAACTTCCTTTTTTTTTTTTTTAACGAAGTGGACATAATTTTTTTTTTAAATTTTATTAAATTCCATAATTTTAGGTCCGGCAACGTTAATTAAGGAATTTATTTCCCGCGGCGTTCGTAGAAACCATTGTTGTCGTCTGCCATTTCACATTAGCAGTTAATTAATGAAGTGGGGCAAAAAACAAATATTAAAGAATTAACTAAATGAAGCAAAATAATCTGTTTACGATATTCATTGAGAAACAGTCCCCATTATCGGGAATAGCGTAAACAGAAATAAAAACGGATGAGTTGATCACCATATCCACACAGAAATTGTACCGAATTATATTAACAAGTGAAAAAAGAGAAAGGTTGCTTAATTAATTAATTATTATTCTCCTCCTCCTCCTTCTTCTTCTGATTATTATTATTAATGCAGCTACCAGAAATTTATTCAAATATTTCAATCATAGCTGTATGTAGCTATATCTAGAAAGGCAATTCAAATAAATTTAGTACAATGACATCAGGAACTTTAGAAAATAGATGCCTTGCTGAAAATGATTTTAATACAGAAATCCTATAAAAGAAAGTTTGTCTTACTTATCTCTGTCCGTGGTGGGGGGATATTCGACTAGTTTAATTATAATATCGTCGCATCATTATCGTCGTAATTAAATATTCTTATCTTCCTTTCAAGTCAGTTATTGTATTTTGTCAAAACTGACAACAATTCTCTATATCCAAGGATGCCATGCTACCTATGGATATAGTCTTCTTGTCTTTAGCAATAACACACTTTAGTTTCCATTTGTTTAAAATCGATTTCTATTTGAACGTCTTCTCGAAAGAGATTGTGGAACAGTTTTCAGTGCTTCAATGTTTATAAGTAAAATTGTAACTTTTAAATTCCACATTTATTATCGCTCTTTTTATTTGCAATATTTTGCTCATTTTTTTAATCATTTCGCCCCAAGCAAAGCAATAAAGCCACTAAGACGCAAGGGGTCTACTGAGTGTTAGGGAATAAGAGAAAAAGGGAACATTAAGGAGAGAGAACAATAAATGAACAGCAATGAAGACGACAAAATATAATGATTGGCATTGCATTTAAATTTTAAAAAATCAAACTTGACTGGAAAGTAAGAAGTCACAAGAGCATTCTACAGCCGAGAAGTGCGAGAAAAGAATCTGTTGGCATAGAACTTACGGTTCATCTAGCCATTTCAACTGTGAATGGGACCTACCTGCTAAACGCCTAAATTAGTAAAATCAATGTACCAATGGTGGAAAAATCACCAGAAAAATTACCATGAAAGTATTTATGGAGAATACATAGGGAAGTTACGTAACGGTTGTGGGTAAGTGACTGAAACCGAGATGCCAGGTCGGGATCAATAACATTGCAGATTCTTCTTTGGATTTTGTCAAGAATCTCTTAATACATAGCAGATGCACCAAACAAGATTTGACTGCAATATTCAATGTATGGATGAATGATAGACTTATAAATGTATAAGATTATCTAACATGACACAATGAACCAACTTCCCGAGTAGCACACCTAGCAATTGATTCAGTATAATCTTTACAATTTCATTTCATTAGTTTAGGACTCCCACCAGTTGTAACTCATTGGTTTACACCAAAGATTAAGTGACAGCAATTCTCTTCAGGACTACATCAACTTTATCCTCCAAACTCTTCTGATTATTACTTTCTCCGGTATTTTTTCTTGGTTCTAAAAACCGTTCCCATTGCCCCGATAACAACTGACACGACCTTCATTCTCTACAATTTTCTTAGCTTCCTGGCAAGGTCAAGATAATAACCATTTCATGTTTAAGTGGTTATAATCTAGTTTACCTGATTATTATTATTATTTCCTTTGATTTCTAGCGTTTACACATTTCTTTCCGGGTCCCGCCCAGAGACCTAAGGTTAGAAATGGCACCATGACACTTTCCAATGACTTAAAAAATATTTTACATAGATAAAGCTCTCCGTAAAGTGTGGGCTGTACTTATGAGAACATTTTTTTGAGACATGGGCTTCCAGGAATCCCTTCACTTAGTCTACTGGAATCTTTTCCAACCAGTCCTAGCATCCAACTACAACAAGGATTGTTAATGTTCCCATATGCTACATTTTTAGATTTCTATTTCAAGGTCCTTGTATTTCGACAGCTTTTTGAATATCTCCAAAGTTACATTGCAGTCTGCAGGTACTGCCATATCAATAAGGAGGCACTTTTTTTGTTTGCGGTCTTTAATAACAATATCCGGGCGTTTGGCTTTGATTGTTCTGTCAGTGTGTATTGTGTAGTCTCATAGAATTGTAACAGGTCCTATCTCCGTAACCGGGTCTGGGTGATGTTCATACCATTTTCTTTCAGTTTCCTTCCCGTAGAAGTTGCAAATTTTCCAGTGCAGATATTGGCCCACTCTGTCATGCTGGGTTTTATATTCAGTGGGTGCCAATATCGTGCAACCTGATACAAGATGATCAATCGTTTCTGGATATTTATCACAGAATCTACATTTTAGTCTAACACAATATTTTAGTATATGTGTTTGATAATTCCTAGTTAACAAGCATTGGTCCTGTGCAGCAAGGATAAAACCTTCAGTTTCAGCTGTCAACCCTGCACTACGTAGCCACTGATGGGTACGGGTTTGTCTACCTCAGTTTGTTTGGTACGGGCAGAGTATTGGCCATGAAGCGGTTTATCTTGCCATTGTTTCTGTATCTAGTCGGTTGCATTTGTCTTTGCTTTCTTTTTTAAAATATTTTACAGCTTCAGACGGTGTACTGTGCTTTACTTGTATTTCTGCACCCATTTGAAACTCCATTTTGTACTTATTGGCTTCCTTTATTACGGAGTAAAGACGCTTACTACTTTCATGTTCTTTGACACATACCATCATCCAGTCTTCTGTAGTTTCCAAGTATCTTTGGAGGCCAATTGTTGTAGTTTTGTAGGACAGTTCTATTTGAACTAATCCTCTGCCTCCTTCGGATCTGGGCACATACAGACGATCAACATCAGATTTGGGATGATGCATGCGGTAGCAAGTGAGAAGCTTTCTTGTTTTGGCGTCCATTTGCTTAATTTCAGCTGTGGTTCAGTTAAGGACATTAAACCTGTATTGCACCACAGGGACAGCCAAGGTGTTTATGTTTGATATTTTGTTTTTGAGTTTAGCTCGGTATTTAGTACAAGGCGTACACGCTTGTAGTACTCCTTTCTTACCTTCTCCTTCATTTGGGGATGTTGTATGCTATTCCTTCGCTAATTCCTAGGTATTTATAGGCTCCATCATGCTCCAGTTCCCTAATCTTTGTGACAAAATCTAAATCTATTAAGGGCGTTTCTGTAATTCTAGCTTTCTTGAATGTTACTTCTGCACATTTATCTTATCCGAAGTCCATACCTATGTCGTCACTGAAACATTTTACAATATTGAGGAGTTCCTTCAACTCATAGTCGTCTTTGGCAAAGAGTTTGAGATCATCCATGTAGAGTAGGTTATTGAATATTTTCTTATTTAGTTTGTAACTATAGCTACTGTTGTTCAGTTCATGTGTAAGAGGGATTAAGGATAAACAAAACAGAAGGGGTGACAGAGAGTCACCTTGAAAGATTCCACGTCGGATATTTAGACGGTTGGATATGGCAGTGCTTCCGGTGTGATTAAGGTATAGTTTGGTTTTCCACATTCCCATTCTGTGCTTAAGGAAATTTAATACCACAGGGGAGACTTTGTACATTTCCAAAGTCTTAAGGATCGAAGCATTTCACCGCAAGCAAGGCGGGAATGCAACTAGCACGCAAGGGGTTACAGAGAATGAGAGTAGGAGTAAAAAAAAATAGATGTTTGAGGAAGGATATATAGAAGGACGGGTATCATGATCAAGGCATCAGAAGGTGTCGATTGACATTACATTTAAATATTTGAAGATTATAGTTATCAGGGAAGCAAGTAAGAGGAAGGGAGTACCACGGTCGGGAAGTGCGAGAGAAGAAGCTGTTGGAGTAGAAGAGGCGGTTTGCATTTAAATGTTTCGACAGTGAAATGGTGGGACCGAGATGCCAATTATTATTATCATCATTATTATTATTGTTGTTGTTGTTTCATTCCTTGAGTGTTCACACCAATAGTAACAAAGGTATACAATAGGGAATAATTTACATCAAGTCTTCTATATATGTCATTCTCCTTTGTATCATTTTGTTATTTTCAATTCTGCAGCCAACGAAATCTTTTCTAATCTTCCACGGATGTCCAATTCCTTTGGTCTTCGGGCAATGCTCTTTAAAGGTCGTTCTCAGTGATTCACTAATGATGTTCCCATCTGTCACTCTCATAAGTCATCATATTTTTACTTCTGCCGCCATGTCCAGATATTTCCCATCTTTTCACTTTCTTTTTAATTTTATTCTTCAGTCTGCTCGAACAAAGATATCAAACGAAATAATTTTCCTCTCTTTGTTTTCTACATCTAGTCCCGAACTTCTGGCTTGAGAATACTTCACATTATTTACATTATATATTGTCGGACTAATTTCGCCATTTTGTTATTATTACAGTTGCCCCCCCGCCGTCCTCCTTAAATTGTCTGATGCTGCAATTGTTACAAATAAATATTTACATAAAGGATATTTTACATTAAGTCTGAATTCTAAGACATCAAAGGTTTTCACTGTTGTTCGAGTTACATGACTATTGGGTAAGTGTTAAGGTTATTGGAAAAGAACGAGATTATCTTGAAAATGAATATTTTTATCATTAGGATATCGATATTGATAGATCATTGTGAATAGATAGATAGATAGATAGATAGATAGATAGATAGATAGATAGATAGATAGATAAATATATTCATATTTGCCATGCATAATGTAATTTTAAATATATTCATCTGTTTTATCTAAGCATGCATAATGTAATTTTAATTTTATCTATCTATCTCAGTCTGTTTATATCTATTTATCTATCTCAGTCTGTTCCTATCTATCTATCTATCTATCTATCTATCTATCTATCTATCTATCTATCTCAGTCTGTTCCTATCTATCTATCTATCTATCTATCTATCTATCTATCTATCTATCTATCTATCAGTCTTCATCTATCTATCTATTAGTTGTAACCTTCCGTCCTTCTTCAGTTGTCTGGTGTTAAAGAGATCAGAGATTTTCACTGTTGTTCGAGTTGCATGACTATTTGCTAAGTATTAAGGTTATTGTTCACATGAATGTTTTTGTCATTTGGATATCGACATTAATAGATCATTTTGAATAGATAGATAGATAGATAGATAGATAGATAGATAGATAGATAGATAGATAAATAGATAGATCTGGTTAGACCATGGTAATTATATCCATATTTAAGCTATCTATCTCAGTCTGTTCATATGTATGTATGTATGTATCTGTCTATCTATCTATTTATTAATCTATCTCAGTCTGTTCATATCTATCTATTTCAGTCTGTTCGTATCTATTTATCTATCTCAGTCAGTTCACATCTATCTATCTATCTATCTATCTATCTATCTATCTTTCGCAGTCTGTTCATATCTAGTTCTCGCTCCCAATCTGTTCATATCTATCTATCTATCTATCTATCTATCTATCTATCTATCTCTCTCTCTCTCTCTCTCTCTATATATATATATATATATATATAAGGCCAATTTATAAATAATTTTCGATTTTGTTTATCAATTGTATTTTTCAAAATATCGCAAGTGCTTCCCACAAAAGAAAATTACTTAACAATTCACTTGATACTTTTCTCTTTGCACAATTGTGATTGCTTTCTTGTACTCACTAAATTATTTCAGCTTTTTGCATGTGCCATCAGTATATTTTACACTGGTCCGGTTATTCCTTCACAGGGCACACAGTGAGGAACAGACTGCCCACCAAAGGATTTCAAAAGCATTTTAATAAACACTGCACACTGACGAACGATCCCACCCTGGTGGGACGTATATAAATAAGAATAAAAATCTGCGACAAATGAAAAGAGCAATGAAATTCTGATGAGAAGAAGCCGACCAATTTTTAAAAGACCCCAGTCGGGCTGAGAGCACTTTAAAAAATTGAACATCGAGCAGAAGTAATCTTGTGAGACATTACGAATGGCAGGATAAGTTTGTTTAACGAGATGATGGATATGCAAGAAAATAAGGAATTATCTTAAGAGACAGGAATAAAACGGAGATGGAGATAGAGTGACAAAATGTGAGTATAAGAAACGCGCGCGCACATGTGCACACACAAACACACGCATACACTCTTACATACACATAAAAAAAAGCATGACCATCTCAAAGCCTAATTTAAGTAAATAAAAAAACAACAAATATTCAGCTGTTTAACGTGAATTACGTTTTGTCTTGCTAATGTAGATTTTGTTTTTTGTTCTTTCGAAATAAAAGAGGCGGTGCAAGCGTCTCGTCGCCCCCACCCTGTATCTATAACACCCCCACGAATCTTAAATCCCGCCCTGAATCTATGATATTCGCAATCTATGGTGCCCCCCCCACGAATCTATGATACGAAGCATCTCACTAAATCTAAATTTTTCTAAGGTAATATTCATAATAAATGCAAATTTTATTGTAACCTAATTATGTATAATATGTGCAATACAGGTGAAAAATTATACAAGAAAAATTGAAATTTAATACAATATATCTAAATACAAATTAGAGACATGTCATAATAGATCATTCCATCTTAAATAAATCAACAATGTTTTTGTGGTAATTTTAAACATCAACTTGAGATTTTTCTTCTTAAAAAGTTGAATAATATTTAATACACCCAAAATTATGAATAAAAACGAAATAGTGAATTAAATAGTTTTTTTTTAAACAAATGCTCTGCTGCTACTTCCATAAAAAGTGCTCGGACAAACTGCATCTCCTGGTTACACCAGGTGTGAGCATCACGGCTAGGACCCGCCATGCCACTTACAAAGTAACAAACCACCCTCATTCTCCCCGTATTCCATCGACGAGAAGTAAGTTCGACTCAAACAGCTTCTTCTCACAAACCACTGCCTGATATCTGAATCTGCTTGATTTTGACGTCTCCAATACATAGGTTCATGACTGGTGCAAGGGTCTCATGCCCCCTCAGAATCTATGGTAAGTCCCCTCCGAATCTATGATACTACATTTCAATTTTCATGAGGTAGTATTCATATAAAATACAATTTTTTTTGTAATATAATTATATACAACAAGGGATCATATACAATATAGGTGAACAATTCAACTAGAAAAATTGAAAATAAATACAATGTATCTAAATACAAATTAGAGACATGTCATAATAGATCATTCCTTTTTAAATAAATCAATGTTTTGCATCAATTTTTAACATCAACTTGAGATTTTTCTTGTTAAAAAGTTGAATAATTTTAACACATTCAACATTATGGATAAATGTAGTGAACTTTCTATAGTGTTTGTTAGAGTCGTAGTATGAGCCACGGAATTGGACGAAAATACAAGGACCCCGCAATGGCGTCAAAATCCATGAAAAATGTTCATCCTTTTATAGCGCTTAGTTTAATTTGTAACATGTATAAATGTAGGTAGAAAAAGATAAATGTTAATAAGATAGTGAGGTTTACAAAGTACTGCACTGAGCGCTTAATCGGGCTTTGCACCACGGTCGGGAGAAGTGTCAGGAAGGGTTGGGGTGGTAGTACCAAACAAGTTTGATTCATAAACTGACAAGGTTTGTCGATTTAATGTTTTGTTATATGTTTCCAATTTTCGGCTAAGGTATTGTATGTAGTGCTCAGAGTTGATGATAAACTGTCCGAAGTTCATATTGTTTTATTTTTGTCCAAGTACTTTCGACTTTCACAGTCATTATCAAGAACCAATGTGATGTCGATGTGGCAATTAGAATCCCTTTGTTCACATCCTAGTATTCTTTGGCAAACTGAAATTTTTTTGTCCATCTGTATATTCAGTTATTTATTCACAGAACTCGTTGAAAATACTTATCTAAAATCGACTAAGATCGCAGTATTTCTAAGACGCGTAGATTTTCTAAGAATTTTCTTTTGAAGTATCTACAGCCAATATCGTAGTCTTTCTAAGGAATATATGAATACAGATAAGAAAACTAGTTGATTAATCAATCAGGAGCATTAAATGAGAAACATATAAATTAAATAATAATAATAATAATAATAATAATAATAATAAGAAGAAGAAGAAGAAGAAGAAGAAGAAGAAGAAGAAAACGAAGAAAAGTTCATATTTACATTAAAATATTAGTAAAAATAATTAAATATATATATATATGGCACAGATACACACACATATATATATGTGTATACACACACACACACACACACACACACACACATATATATATATATATATATATATATATATATATATATATATTATGAAATGGACAAAAGTCCGACAATTATTTTAAAACATTTTTGTTATACATTTTTTTATAGATACAAATATTTAAGTAATGTGTATAATAAATAGTATTTAAACAACATTTACCTGCATGAATTTCCGAGAAATTTTCACGGAGGCCGAATATTTTCTGTGAAAATTTATCGGACATTCAGGCCGGTAAATGTTGTTTAATACTGTTTATTATAAACAGACCATTTACTTAAATATTTGTATCTATAAAAAGAATGTATAATATATATATATATATATATATATATATATATATATATATATATATATAATTATTTATTAAAAATATGAGTCCAACACGCTACATAAGAGTTTTCATGTTTCAAAACAAGAACTGAAAACTTCAATATAATTATTTGAATTAAATTGAATTAAAGTAAGCTCTGTTCCATCTTCAAGCGAAATTTTTTTGGAATAACTTATTTCTGAAATTTACGTGTTTCAATAGCATATTCATTATTATTTACCTAACGAGTTCTTTCCTATTTTCTATATATTTTTCACACACACACACACATATATATATATATATATATATATATATATATATATATATATATATATATATATATATTAGTTCTGCCTGTTTAAATTTTGTTATAGGTTTACAATTTTCGGATAAGATGTTGAGTATTGTGTTATTTTGTTCAAGTAATTTCATATTGTGTTATTTTTGTTCAAGTAATATTGTGTTATTTTTGTTCAAGTAATTTCGACTTTCGCAATCATTATCAAGAGCCAATGTGGTGGTTGTGTGGTAGTTAGAATTACTCTGTCTACATTCATGGAATTCATTTGTCTACATTCTTAGGAAAGCTGGAAGTTTGTTTTCCAGTTTTTCAAAGACTACCAACATGTA